TATTAGGGTCGACGACAGGAACTATTCTCTTCCTGTTTGAAGACAATACTTGTACGATACCCGCCCCTGACCAGATGCGGTTAATCCCTTATTGTAACAATCGAGTCTGGACATTCTCACGGAAAATGACCTGTCAGTTTTTCTGACAGCGACCAGCATAATGCACTCGCCAGACATAGTATGCGAAGCTAAACAGGAAAAAAGTCATTTTCAGAATTTAGGGAGCAGTCTGGAAAATACAACACCTAACAATCGTGTCCACAATAGGACCAAGAGTTAGGTACATGGCGCAACCTGGCAGGTACGTGTCATAAACATCATATTTGCGAGCCAATTATTGCCCAACATGCCATTTTGATCCATTTCAAAGAAAGACAAGCACATATACCTGCACCCCTTCCCACTGAAACTCCAACTCCACTCGTAGGCCACAACACGGCGCAACCTGAATTTGCAGTTAAGACTTTTACCCCGTCTCCTACATTACTTCATCTCACTACACTCTTAAAGATTATATTAGTAGATCGGAACCTTCGAATTCTCCTAATAAATACCTCCACTGCTCCTTTGCCCACATGAAACTCCACCCAATATTTCAGTTGTAGAAGGAGGACAAAGGGTCGCCGTCCTCTGAGCAGTTTGCAGGACAATATAAAATTGTCGCTAATTGAGTTCCAACAAATTATGCATTCCCCTATATTTTGACTCGGTTTTCTGCTGAGCATCAGATCAACTATAGAACAAAAGACCAAAAATCTCAGAGAAGGTACTTTCAGTAAAAATAGACACCCTTTTGGACTAGAACCCTTCTAAATCTTTAGATTTTCAACACACTAGTCCTTCCTTCTTTATCGGCCCTCAGTGTAACCACATTAACCCATCCGATCGCTGAGGAGGGCGTGGCTGGAGAGGCGTATCCTAAAGGGCATACACTGAAACGAGCCGGTACTTAGAGAGCCCGTCAGGTGTCAGTAACCACTCACCACCACCAGCTCATCTTGGAAGTGCTCGTTTCTCTTTTAAGCTTCTTCTACTCGACATCGACCGATCACCCCTCGAGGCAGCCTTTCCGTCCTCTCTCTGCTTGACAACTCTTTGATTTCTACGCGTGATCGAAGATTCGAGAACACATGATGTTTGATGGAACCATCGTTAGAATTCCCACGCTCTTCGATTCCAGGTTGAAGGAATCATGCACGGAAAAATCATGATTCTATCTCTCCTCATAAATTGCTTGTTTGAGACCCATTATTTACGAAAGAACGAAAACAACAAAAAAATGCGTTTGTTTTAACAATCCGAAAAAAAAACAATTGTTAAATTTCCGCCGTACATCTGCCACAAATTTTGGCGACGGGAACGATTCCACCTTGCTTTCGAAGTGTCTTCTCTAGGACATTTGACCTATCCCATCTGTGGCGATCGCGTTTCTCCCTATTACATCTATTCTTTCAATCGTTTTTCTTTATTCTCCAAATTCAGACGTTTCAATCCGATTCCTTCGATGCGTCGCATGATACGCGTGCCTTGCTCCCGCCCGACCTACCCTCGACCGTCCACAGGCGTGTGGTTTCCGTAAGTTCATTTCTCTTCTTAAAGTGAATCTTCCTGCGTGAAACTTTGTCTATTGTCACTGACTACAACTGGTGTATTCATATTGGTTTTGCGTGAACGATTCCCTCAAACAGGCACCGACACTCATTAAGGTCGATTCATTCAGACTTTGCGAATCGAGCGATTCGCTAGCGAATCGCTAGCGCTCGCAACAGCGTACAGCGGATGGCTCGATTCGCTGCACGACCGCGGACTCTAGCAAATCGCTCGATTCACAAAGTCTGACATTGGCCTTATACGGTATCGGAGTGTTGAGAATTCGAAAATAATATTTTCGAGTGCATCATATGAGCTGGAGTCTTTCAACTGTAGGTAGAGTT